AACCAATACTTTTCTGTCTCTGTCTGCCAATGCTAGCACAACACATTTGGATTTTATTGATACTTTATTGGCTTTACAATACCACGGCTGCATTTATTAGTAGTAGGAAATGAACCCACACCCATGGCAGTCACCATCATGCGTTAACTAACAATACAGGATAAGGATACAGAAAATAAACACCAACAACATGCTTCATTTTTCCAGAAACACCAATTTTTTTACTTTAAAAAGTTTTTTTGTTTTTTTTTTAAAAGCTAAGAAGCTTTAAGGGATCCCTGGAGCAAGCTTTTCTATTCTAATACTATGTAATGAACCATAAATCACTCAATACAGAATATTTATCTTCATCATAGACATAGACATATTTGTGCTGGATAAACATAGCCGAGGGTCCAAGGACAGAGGATGTTGTATGTTTTGTGATTGATGATATTGGGCTATACAAATAAAGTTCCAATTATTGAATTGAAACATGTGTATTGGCCTTCTTATCAGTCACTCTTCCTCCATGATCAAGGCTTCTTTCTCTCTGGATTAAATGTCACACACAGACGAGCCTCATTAAACACATGATCATAAAGCCTAAGCCACCTTTATGAAGATCTGTTTGTAACCGTTACTTTGCTGCCTGCTGTCAACCGCCCAGTAACGTTAACAACATAGCCAAGTCTTTCCATATTCCCTTGGAGAAATCACACGTGCTCATCTCGATTGTGTACTATAATAACAGCAGCAGCCGGCAGTGATCCATTAGAGAGAGCCGAGGGGAAAGAAATCAATTGGGAGGCATAAGACTCCCCAGAGTGAGACAATTAAAGACAAAAGGGGGCGGCAGAGAAACTCTGACAAGACCCGAGGGCTTAAAAAGTGAGATCAGCTGAGCGGTCCCAAGCCAGGGGCTTTGGGGACTCAGCCAGCAGCCGGGGGACCTCAGAGGGAAGCCAAGTCGGCATTCTTCAGGCAAAGCTGCCCAAAACCTTACCACCTCTTCAGCAAAATAAGAATGTTGACATTCGCACGAATGAGATACATATTCTGATGGTTTGACAGAGGTCCAGAGATACCCCGACAGTCACCTTGACAGTACATGGTTTTTTACTACTTATTAAAAACGTCAGTGAAACTCATTTTGACCCAGCTATTCGGTGTGTTCCAGTGCGAGACGTGCGTCGCTGACAGCAGGGAATTGTCAGCGGATAAAAAGGGAAGCTGGGGAGTCAAACCCTCGGCACCGGGTGGGCTCAGAGGCCGACAGTACAATGGCCGGGCGGAAAATGCAGCAGCAACAACAAAAGGGGTCTTGTTATAATGATAAAAGACGTGGCCGTCGACTGTGACAAACAGCAATCCAATATGTCACATAAACAGGAGACCGATTGTACAGCAGGCCTTTTGTGACCACAGGACACACGGCAGCACCGCCTGTGTACACTGTGAGCCGGTACCTATAACTGCATCGTTAGACATCATTGGTACACCGAAAAAAAGGACGTGTGAGCTACAAAAACCAGCGTGCTTGCTTACTGCCAGTAAATTATACCGTAGCACCACACACTCGACAACAATATTCAGCTGACAAGATGTTTTTAAAAGGTTATTGCTGACAGTAAAAACATTACATCATCCAACAGACTCCACTGATCCGAAGAGAACCAAAAGATTTACCATTTATAAGTATGTCAAAGCAATAACACTGACAACAAAGAAACCTCACAGTTGAATGTCTAAAACCCATCATTGACGTCATCTTATCCGGAGGAGATTGTGAAGCAAACAATACGGTGCCGGTGGATATTTGCACACCGCCATGCTTCTGAGAGCCCTCCTGTTAACTTTATCAGGTCAAACCACCTTTATCTGGAGCATTCGATACATCCAACAAAACAGTATACCGTCTCTTTTGACAATAAAGAAGGGCGTGTCAGTCACTCAACGACAATGAAGAGCAGCGCAAACAAACAGCTAGTTGTTAAGGCTCATTGTATACGTGTGAAAAGGCCTGTGGCGAGATACGACGTGAGCACAGCTGCTGCTTATTGAAACAGCTGCAGCTGTGGCAGGACTTCACAGCTGATGCTACAAATTAGTTGCAAAAGTCCCTTCTCAGAGGAAGCCAAACTTACAAGACCAATAATGAATACATGGCTAAATGTCGAGAAAAACGTTGCTAACCTAGTCTTCTAACCTTGTTTTGAATTATTAAATAAAGTAGCCACGTTTCTTACACTTCAGGGGGATTGTTTGAGTCATGTAGTAGGGCAATTTCAGATTTCCTGTCATAAATAGCACAATGTTTGCAACCATACGATGAACATACATAATGATACGATGCATTAAAATGTCAAGGATATCCTTGATGCACACTGTCAGGTTAATGTCTTCAAGGCTAAGAGCAGCACTTCATACTGTACATGGCCTTCACTCCACAAGGTTAATGACAAGCAGATGAAAAGAGCTCAAGACAAGCAAATCCGGGGCAGACACAGCTTGGTATCCGGATGTAATTTGAGCCTATATACTTCACAGCTTTCATATACCAGAACCCCTGAACCGCAGTGGCTGAATATAGTGCACAGAAAAAGCAGGCCCGATACTGAGTAACGGCGTGATACTGAGAGGGGACAGGCTGTGTGTGAGAGAGAGAGAAAGAAAGAAAGAAAGAAAGAAAGAAAGGGAGAGAGGGAGAGAAGAAGAGAGAAGGAGAATGTCAGTTCAAATTTCACAGCTCCCATTATAGCTCAGACACAAGGCCAGTGCGCAGGCCTGTCTCTCCCGTGGGATACATACAGTACACCGTATACCGACATACACTACAGCAGCTCCATAAAGAGGAGTGTCGTGTCTGTTGGGCCACACAGATCATACTGTATCCGAGTGAATGTATTGATTTCTGTGGTGTGGACACAGCTGGGGCACCCAGTTGGCAGGAAGCTAACAAACCACACATGGGTGACACCTGACCAACAGAGGGGTGTGGCCCAGGATTATATTCAAATACAGAGAAACAACTAAGCACAGCCAGGAGAGAATCTCCGGGAGTCCATTCAAATATTCCAATAAGCAAAAAGACACTCCTCGCTTTACTGCATGGCAGTTGCTTGGCTTCCTCTGACTACAGTGCTATGAAGCTATAAAAGGTAAAGGGTACGACGAGTGTCTGGACATAAAATGCGCTGTACAACGTGTAAAAACTATTGTTGATGATTGAGAATTGTGGTTCCGGACTCAAGCAAATGTTGAGAATTAGAAACGTAGTCAATAACTATTCTGTAGCTACCGTGGTAATGTAAAACTAGGGGGTAGCCTCGTGCTAATGATGTAATCATGTTGAAAGTTATGTGCTCTGCAGATGCAGCAGCTTAATCAAAACACAAGTTTGACCTCGCATACGTGTTGGCTGTATTTCCTTAGAGAGTACTTTTAAGGTTTTCTTCCACCCATTTACAAACATTACATTATTATAATCATTCCAATAATTATACTTCTATTTCACAGGATGGGGTTGTTCCACTTATTACAGGCAAAGCGATGAAAGCACTTGATCTCCTTGCCGAGTTTAGAGAATGCGTTTATGAGAGAAAGCAGAGCATGTCACTTCAAAAAGTTAGCGAGCAACATTCCAGATTTTGAACATTGCGTTTCACTTTTTCATATGATTTCACATGCAAACTTTTACTGTCACAGTTGAGAATAGAAACATCCCACCAGACACACCTTTCTAATCTCAGGTATGCACAACAAGGCTTTGCTGAGGTCCAGCAGGAGTGAGTCATGAGCCTTGCATGCGAGGTTTCTCGGCAGGACAAAGAAATAGGCTCATCTGTATGTGACCTCATGCTGATAAGGAAAGAGGAAAGACACGAACGAGGTGACACAGGGCCAAGAAGCACAGGAAATAATGATGCCAGCATTGATTTATTTGTTTAATCTATTGTGGCTCTATACAAGAAATTGTTACTCAGACTGAATTTGAGTAGATTCCCTGTTGTTCAGACTAAACTGGAAAACATAACTTTAAGTTGAATTCCATTCTTTCAGTACAAGAGACACCACAACAAAAACAAAGATATGTTAGTATGTGGCTAACACATTGTAGGTACCAAGACAATAAATAAAGGGAAATGTAAGATTCCACCATGCTAACACCAGCAAAATCACAATATAATTGAAAGAAACCACTATTGTAAACATGGGATATTTCTATCTTTTCACAGTGGCACTTCATATTTGCGTTTTGTTTCCCAAAGAAACCCTGATCCGCGCGGACATGACTAGACGCTTCCACGCGCTGGTGAGCTATGAAATCATTGATATGGAAACGTTCTTTGCATACATGCACATGGTTTAGGTGTGGTGCCTGTGAATGTGAACATCTAGTTGCAATACAAACTTTTGCACATATAGTGCAATGGATTCCAGTTGAGAAAACTACCACTAGCTAATATAATCCAGACTAATTTCTCCTACAGTGGTTGCCCAACCCATTACAGGCAGCCAGAGACAGGGTGGTGCCCTGTGTCATTACAAATGAGCGCGAACGTCGATCATTTTACATAAAACTAGTGGTTTGTAATCCTAGCAGTGAGGGAAACACTGGTCATTGCGGCCTATAACGTCACTTACACACTATTCCAGGGCTAACTTCAAGTGTATGTTTGGAGAAATTAAACTAGTTAATCCAGATTATAGTGGTGATCTGATGTAAAGCAGATCAAAAGGGCTCTCTTTTTCGGACTCCAGTTGGAGAACCGCTGGATTAGGTTATGTGCATCGATGGGAAGAGACAAAAGGCATTAGCTGTAGTGTAGCTTCTCGTTTTCAGTCAATCCGCAATGTGTGAAGGCTATAGGCTAACAGTTGGAGAGAATAGCGCTGCGCATCATCAGCCGCTGCTAACGTTGTGCGCTAGCTACTCACAGTGGATGTGCAGTGTAAAAATGTATTATCAAGTCAGAAAAACTCGTGGATTTGATATATTCTTCTTTTAAAAAACATACCTGGTCAACGGGGAGATTGATAATTTCGCTGATTGGCTGCAACAGAGTGGATCCAGTGCATGATGCAGCCGTTTGGGTAGCCATGCTCGGTCGGTGTCCGTAAATCCTTTCTCTCTCTCTTCTCCTTCCTCCGGTTCACTTCACTCCCCTCTCGGCGTTTGCGATGATAAATTCACTGATGCCGCTGCTGCTGTTGTTGCGAAGGGCTGGACGGTTGTCATCCACAGCGCACATCCAACAAAAGAGTGCAAAACCGCGACGAGATAGTCACCGCTTGACCACTTTCTCTTCCGTCTGACGTCAGTTAGGAACACCGGACGTCGTATTTTAGCTAGGAGTTGACGAGAAGGCCTCACGCGTGACGTTTTTTAAAAAAAAATTTTACATGTGTATTTCAATTATGACGAGGGGAACGTTTTAGATGTTAACAGCCTAAATTCTGATAAAACTGTTTTGAAAATCCCTAACTTCCTCGTTTTAAAGGGTGATTAAATCATTTAAGGAGCGTTTCCGGTGTGACCTTGAGTGGTATGTTTTGTGTACATGAAACTAAATAATGCGTACCTTTTGGCTAACTTATTTTGTGTATACTCATCCACGTTTAACATGTTTTAACGTTACGCTACCCACGAATGAGACAATGGTTAATATCGTCGTAGAGTAAGACGTGAACTATCTTGGTAGCACGGTCTCTTTGACGACAATAAAAGTGGTGATAATGTGGGTGGAGAGCATGGCGGCCCAGCCCTCCGATAGCCTACATCCATCTATTTTGACCTATCGTAAGAAGAAAGGGAAATCCATCAGCCAATCCCACTTTTGTAAATGGAAGGGGGTCTTGATTTACAGTCTTCAGGGCAAATTGAATTCGAACCGAACGAACTGCGTGCGGTCAGGCCCCACCCCTCTCACATTTATAGCATTCCACACATGAAGGAGAAATGTGTGATGTAAGGGGGGCCATTTGGCAGGATTCATTTGAGGGAACGACTAACAATGAGACCAGTGATGGCTGTTAAAAGTGAACAGCGATGCTTGTAATCTGCGCTATCTGCGCTGCTGTTTTAGCTGCATGAAAGACAGAGATCAAGAGCTCTTTGTAAACGGTGACCACGCACTTCAGCATCTTCACATTGACATTTAACAATCTGGACACGGACATAAAGCCTATATTGCTGCACATTTATTTTGTCAATGGACCATAGGACACCAATGTCGTTTATTTATTGTGTCAAAAATACACTATTCTTGGACATTAACATTGTGTTTTTAGTTTGATTGTTCTTGTAAGACAGAAGAAGAACATTAAACACAAGAATAAAGCCAGGGTATTACCTTTCCCTGAATATTATTTATTAAACTTCATCATGAAGTTGTTTAAATCCCCTTGAGGCAAATTTGTGATATTTGATATTGGGCTATATCAATAAAATGTATTAAATATTCATAAATGGTACAGGGCAAGGTATGAAATTGAAGTTGCTACAAAGACAAAGTGAGCACCACATTTTGTGATGAAAATGAAACTACTGGGATCAATCAGGTATAGCTATTTGTTGCCTGAATTGTTACGCAATAATCTCCAGAAGTTTAACTTGATGCAGCCTTTTATTCTTCACTGTCTATCAGTACCTAGTGGATTAAAGTGTTTCCCCCTCAGAACCCTACTAGTTTAGTAAATACATGTATGCTACTTCCTCAATAAAATCTGTGAAACAAATACTTCCATTCATTAAGGATTCAAAGTTAAGGACGTACACAAAATAATTATATGCCATATGCATGAATCATCAAACTATATATTTTGTAGGTTTAAACTTTTACCACGATGCATTTTTTTAACCATAAAGTCTACACTACCCCTCTGAAGTTGGGATAATACTTTGTAATCTAATATTCTTTCACTGAAATAATTTAGTTCTGTTGTATTTTAAGAAAGTTTGCAGCAAGGCACAGTCGCCACATGAGGGCAGCACTCACACACCGATGACAACCCACCTGACTGCAATCTTCCTGTTGTGTTAATTTAGGAAGTTCCTTTTTGTAAAGTATAAAGTATGTACAATACAAGAAGAGAGGAGAAGATTTATGGATTGAGACAGAAAGACTGTGATGTGCAAAATACTTTATAAAGAGCTCTGAATGTAGATGGAACGGCCATAGTGACAATGGTACGAGGTGCATTTTGATACAAAAAGCAAATTTAGTGAAATCACAGGAAGATTATTACGATTCTGTGACCTTTGTACTCCTTACCATTGATTATTACAAAGAGCGTGACCTCAGTGATGAGGATGCCCCAGTGAAAAAACAAAAAAAAGCCAAGCACTATGTTCAATAAACTTCCGGAAAGTTAAACTAAGTTGGATAGAAAGGAAGTTGCCCAGAAAACAAAATGTACACTCCCAAACAGAAAAGACGTTCAAGTGGACAGGTTCCAGTTATCAGCGTCTGAGCCGGGAGAGGAAGAGGGGAAAAAGTAGGAGGAAGCTCCACCACATACTAAACCAGAGCAACTACTCAAATCATCAAATGATCAAATGAGCTGCAGTAAGGCAGGGCATTAACAGCTCAAGCTAGTGGGAAGAGTCTTTAAAAACTGGCTGAATTACAATAAATTCATTTTTGAATACATTTTTTGGGCTATTGTTTACATTCTGAGCAGAAATGGGCGGGTATTACAATGTCATAACTGCCTGATAAGATGTTCAGTACTGCAAAACCAAAATGTCTTCATATGCATACAGTGCAAGATTCACAATATCATGTGACCTCAACATTGTATTGTTGGGTTGGTTTCTATGCATCATGTTTTATCACATGGTGTTTGTGATATTGTTCTGCTTTGATGATGTTATTTGTGAAACAAAGCTGTGTTTAAAGCTTCTTTTTAATATACATATCCAAAAAAAAACAATACTCAAAGCTCTGATAGACAAAGTGCTCTTAACCAGGCATCACACGACTGGTAATGAAACTCACCTGCTTGTGCTCGATCATTTATATTTTTAATTTCACAGTCAAGTTTGTGGGTCTCTCAGGATGTTTTCTCATCAGCAGTATGTGCTTTTGCAGCATTACCATTTTTTTTATTTTCTCAAATGATACATTTTTAGAGCTTGCAGTCTGAAGTGGTAACAGAGCTAGTTGTGCATCACACCAACACTTTACTGGCACGTCTTGTCTTAACACACGTCTGTGTCGAAACCTTCTGCATTTTGCTTTGAAGCAAATACATTGTAGTGAACCTGATTTTGATTCCCAGTCAATTTGACTGTATGTGGAAGAATGACTCAGCATATTTTGAGTGTGTAGGCTATATATATATACAGTATGTGTCTGCCTGCGAGGAAACATATTGAATTGTTTAACCACGACAGGCTTTTCTGAGACTGCACATCCTCACAAAAGGATTCCATGAAATGTTAAAGCTGGCTGAGCAAAGATACACTGTTGGCAGAGAAGAAACATGCAGTTAGTAATTACTGATTATCTCTTTACAATAATGACTGTAGATACAACGTTTTAATTAAAACCACATGTTACAGTATGATGGATATTGTCGGTTATTTATTTATGCCAAGCTCTCTCTTCCTCCATGGACTCCATCACTACTCTCTGAAACGCTCACCATGCACCTCATGTACCACAGCTCTTATATAATCACCATTGATCATTCATAACTACACAAAGACGGGAAGGGTATGACGTTAAGTCAGCGAGGGCAGACAGAGCCTCGTCGCATTCATGTCACTCCACTCCACTGTGTTTTTGTTCTTCCTCCACGATATCTAATTAACCCCACAATAACGGAGAGAGAGAGAGAGAGAGACACACAGTTCGTTAAGTTGGCATCGCCATGGCAACCCCATCCTCCTTCCTTCCTCCGCCGCCTCTCTCACAGACGGATACTTCACCTAAAAGAGCTTCAGAGAGGAAAAGGGACGGTGAGAAAGCGCAGGGCGAGACAAAGCCTTCGCTAATCTATTTAAAAGGCTGAAGAAAGCATGTGAATGAGTGGATGAGCTATAGCGGAAGTTCCCACTCATTCATGATGAAACCCAGGCAGATCACAAGTGCATACATGTGTGATAACTTTGCATTTCTCTTCCTTTTCTTGTGCCTTGCACCCCAAAAAAAATACTCCTCATCGTGGTATGACTCACATTTGTTCATAATCTAGGCTGTATGGATGATCTGTATTGTGGTGATAAGTCCATTAGCTCCTTATATAGTCAATAGTTCATGTTTTGCAGGCGTGCTCCTCCAGGGAAATGCAGCCTTTTCTCTCTCCAGATCGGACAGGAAGTGTCTTTTTGTTTTGAGGTCAGTGGACGGGCCTTCCTCAAATATAACTCCTAACTATCCTCTGTCTGAAAACCATGACATTACTCTTTATTATTTATTAGTCGTTCTACCCTCTCGTCTCTTTCAATCTTGGTTTATGCCTGCAGACACAGAAACCATTTTAATGGTTCTTTGCTCCCATTGGGATTTCTCTGGGAGCACATTATCACCATCACTCAAAATAGTCCAGCAGTGCAACCTGCGGGAGCTGTTGGTTAAAACAATCAATATGCTCTTGCTCATTTACAAATCACATCCTTGGGTTACTGGGAATATCAGTGTAAAGACTTCCTGTGTTAAGGTTGAATCATCCTCTGAATGAGTGTAGTGCAATATCCAAGAAATATGCTCACACTACTCTACATTAATAATGAATGAGTCAGCGAAGGTCTCCTGATGTTATTGCTGGCCACTGTGTATTGCTGATTTTACAGCATCGTCCAGCATAGACAGGAGAGGAGGATCGTAGTGGTTGCATCACTTACATGCTGTCCACAACTAGACTGCTGAGTGCAGAAACACACCACCAACCATCCTTTTTCCCACGTCAACGAAACGTGTGGAAAGTGTGGAGTCAAAGCCGTAACCACCGTCTATTTCAGTGGCAGAAACATAAGCTCTCTCAGCTCATTTCGTCATTTTCTGGCCATAGTTAGCTGAAGGGCGGGGCACCCATTCATTTCCCCTCTCTTACAGCACCTCATGTGTCCTAATGCTTTATTATTCTTTTCTATTTTTGTTCTCTCTCAGGGTGCTTTAAGAAACATATCCTCGAGGATCAAAAAGGTTTATGTTCCCAAACAGATAGATCAAAGAGATATGGATATAAAGCTTGTTTTCCATCTATTCCATGTAAACACTTGCCTTTCACCTGTATTTTTCAATGGTTTACAGCAACAAATACACAAATATAACATGTAAACTAACATCACAGG